AAATGGCCACAGCACAGGGCCAACTGATGGACCTGAGCAAATTACTTTTTAGCTTTTACCATTAGTGTGAATCTGGCTGGAACCTGCCATGGCAAGATACACTAAACCGAAATAATAAATTCGTTTCCTTTCACCAGTAGGAAATAATCATCCGTTCCATATGGCTGCCTTCCAGATGTGTGGATCTACAACACCCATCCTCCCCCACCTTGCACAGCTGTAGTCCGACACATCTGGAAGGCTTCCTCAAGCATTTTCCCCAGAGATATTACTGAAAATTTATATCAAAATGGCACTCTGATCACCTCAGGCAAAATGGGAAGTAGGTAATGTAACGGATTTCTACCGCCCATAACCAGGAATTTCAGAGTAATTAAGTATATTAAAGCCACACTGTGCGCTCACTTCCTTGTAAGTCCCATTGGACAGAACGGGTCTCATTCTCAAGCAATGATCAGAGTTTCATAGCAGAGGAAATGAGATGTACAGTCTAAAATTAGTTTAGATTCACATAATACCTTAGAGACAGAAATCTCCCCAGCTTCTCCAGTCTGGAAACATTCCATGCTTTACCCTATATACCAACAGCAAACTCAGTTTTCCAGTGTGGATCCTTAAGTGGCCAAAACGGCACAAGAGGGAGGCATCAGCTCAGGTTTTGCTGAAGTACAAGAACACTTTAAGGGGGAAGCAAATACTGCAGTCAACCTGATGAGGACGGAGCATAGTCGGTAGTCACAGGATGCTGAATGTGGGGCAGGAGCAGGGGGTGAGGGGTGGAATTGAGGACTGGGGGGAAGAGGGGACCTCTGGCAGACCGGAATCCTGAGCTTGAACGTACCACACTGGAACATTTTGCTCCAGGTTCCATGTATACAGGTGTGTTTTTTCATAATGGTAACCTTTCTTTTTTCATAGTAAGAAGCTTGCACATTTCATTGTATACTATTCAAGAATTATATTTCATTTAAAAAACATAGATGAAGCTATCCAGCCAAGAGCAGCTGGACTGAAAAATTATGTGTGACTGGACTGGGTGCCCTTAGAGAATAATCAGAGAGCATAAGAATTGAATGATGACTCTAAAGGAGAATGCAAAGCTGTACTAGAAGTGGGAAACTTTGGAAATTGTTTGCTATCCCCTCGCCCCCCGAATGAAATGAAGGTCAAGGAAGAGCAGAACCTTCTGAACTGACCAAACGTGCAAAAGCTGTGGAACTTTCGCTGCTCTTGTCGAATGTCCCAGAGAATCCTGGCATGAATTGAGAGGGAATAAGAAAGTATTCATTCCTCCTGGACAAAGGACTTGTGGAAAGAAACAAGGCAACCAGGAAAGAATTCGAAGAGAAGCTCTTTCTCTTTGAGCAACCGCGGTGCACTCCTCTCCCTCCTCCCTGTCACTCTTCTCTTCTCTGGAGCCACCCTGATGGAAGCAGCTTACCTGTCATATGCTTAAGAGTGATAAAGCAATTGCCCTGCTGAAGAGAAATCTCCAAGGAAGAAGACTCTACCCGATGTCATTCAAAAAAGCAAGGAAGGGATTTCATTCCAATTAGCCATAATCTCTCTGCCTGGGCATGGCTTCTGTCTTTCCTCCAAGCCTGAGCAGACAGACCTTCCGGAATCAAAGCAGGAGTGCTCAGCTTGAAGATCAACAGGAATTCCAAGCAAGGAGCTGACAGAATAACTGAGCTTGATCCCTCCCACTGCCTGTGTGTTGAACACACTGCAGAAAGGTGTCCGTTCATCACAAGGGCCAAGGGAACGTAGAAAATCACCACTGCAAAGGAGGGCTAAGCTGGCTCAGACCAGCAGCCTGCCTAGAATCCTCTTCCCCACCTGGCATCATCCAGCACCTCTGGAAGAAGCTCCCATTGCCCCTAGCTAGGATTAGCATTGGCAACACTGGCCAGAGATGATGGGAGTTGTAGTCCAACACAGCTGGAGGGTCTCAGGTTGGGTAAGGCTGATTTAGACCATCTGCTTTTGTATCAGAATATTCTGGAGCAAGTGGCGGTGTCAGCCTCACTAGGGCTCAGCTTTGTGAACCGCAGTCTGAAATCCAAACCTTGACTGAAGACACAGCTCATCGGAAGCCATCAGCTGCTCTGCAGGAAAGCCTGCAAGGGCACCCAAAGGATGCTCCTGCTTGTCTTCTGTCAAGATGAGAAGCAAAGGGTTTCAACCAAACCAGCTGTAGGAAAGGGACAATTGTTAAAAGGAAGCGAATTACTTGTGAGCACTATGGAATGAGCAGGGTGCAGGAGGACAAAGCTTGCATCCACCCCCTCAGCATCCAACCGTGCTGAAGTACCTGGAGCTGTCTTGATGGGCACCAGCTGAAGTGCACCAGGAGGTATGCATTCGAAAGCCTTGCTTCCGACCACTGTGATGTCTTGCTAGGGTTGAGGGACCTCTGCAGCCAAGCAAGCTTGCTTCCATTTTCTTCGTCAACCGTTTAGTGCTCTCCCTAAGCTAGATGACCAGACCTATGCCCTTTTTTATGCCTTGCCTTATACTGATCTATGAGGTAATGGGTGTGGTGATTGTGACATTCTGTAGTTGGGGTGGCTGATCTACAACCTTCAGGACCATTGCCGCCAAGTGCTCATCTTTCTATGCAAATGTTTGACTTCCTCTTTTTACACAGAAAGTATCTAGCTCCTGGGGAATTCATTTTTGCCTGATGTATCCCAATCAATGCTACTTGACTTCTACGTGGCAAACATACCTGAGGTTTCTTAAATATGGCTTATTAATGCTTGGGCTGTGAGGGCACATATCCACTGTGTGGCCAATCCTATAATTTGAGTAGGCACCCTGAACTCACTGGGTCCTGCTTCAGCGCAAGCAAGTGTGGGACGAGGCCTTTCACGATTGCCGCAGCCTCCACGATCCTGTTTGGTTAAAATGGAGATGCAAACTGCACCGTCAGGAAGAACCTGGTAAAGGGTCCTCTAGTGAATTTCATGCAGCATTGATGTCAGACTTGAGAAAATGAGATCTTGTAAGTGAAAATATGTTGCTTCTTCCTGCCATTTTATGAAGCCCAGCAGCAAATTTCTAAAGATAACATCTCTGTGCATAAACAGGGTCCATCATGACTTAACAAAAATACTTGAATTTTATGATTTGAAAAATCGCCCTTAACCTTTTTCAGGAAAAGACATTCCTTTAAAAGCTGCGCTGATGTGGTATATCAGCTCTGGACTCTTGGCATGAATGGAGCACAGAAGCCTGGAGAAAGAGCCACATTTATCACATGGAGACATCTTCAACAGGGTTTCAATAACTGGAGAGCAGTCACTCTGCCCTGCCTCCACCCCAAAATGCCACTTCGCTATCATTCATGTTTATATGAAGGGCACAAGTGAGCTGGTGGAAAGAAGCCAGCCAAAGAGATCATTGTGATTCAGTGCACAAGTTTACAATACTCCTTTTAAAAAGACTCAGATCAAGGAAGCTAGGTTAAATATTGAACATACTGATTAGTGATGGGGGGCAGGAAGGGAGAGAGAAAGAAGGGAGAGGCTGAGGAAGGAGGTCTAAACCCTTCAATCTCTGCAAACAGGTCACTTTCCTCGTGAATTTTATCTTTGATATCTTTCAAAGCAAGGCCATTAAAACAGGAAGAAGGAGGCGGGGGTGGTGGTGGTGGGGAGAACACTCTTTTCTCATTTTATTTTGTGAGAGAAAACCAAGCTGCCTCTAAACAAGGACGGGGCTGGGAAATCATCTGGGTTCACATCCCGCCTCGCCTCGCCTCGCCTCAGGCTGCGGAGAGCGCGAGTTGGAGGGGCTGGGCTGACACTGACATTCCAGGCCCGTGGATCGCAGCCCTGACAGTTTCTGCGGCAATCCAGTGTCCGCCATCACCAGCCCGGGCCGGGGGAGGGGAGGCAGGCTTCCCTCCCCCTCGCCCCGGAGCTGCGCTGCCTGGTCCCGCCTGGCCCCTGGCCTGGCCCCTGCGCCTCTTTGGCCGTCCGCGGCTCCCTGTCGCGGGCATGCGAGGGCTCGCAAGGCTGTGACGCCACGGCCGGGCCAGCAGCACCGCAGCCCTCGCCTCCATCTAGCTACGCAGTAGGTGGAGAAGGCCCCAGCGAGATCCGCGCTCCTCTCTCTCTCCCCGTGTTTGCTGCGCGCAGGTACAGCTGGAGGGACTTGGCGCACCCCCCCCCCCCCGCGCAGTTTTATTCCAGCACCGATGCAAGGCCGGCTCCACTCAAAGTTCAAGCCAGAGCAGCCAGGACCCCAGCAGGGCGAGGGGGGAGCCGGGGGGAGCGGACAAGAGGGGAGGGGAGACTTGACACCCACAAGAAAACGACGCGGCAGTGCGGGACTGCTAGCAGGAAAGAAAAAGCCAGGGAGCAAAGGTCAGGCAGCAGCACGAAGCTGACACGCCGGCGGGTCGCCTCGCAAGTGCCCCTCGCTCGCTTCACGGGGAAGTCTCCGCAGCCCCTTCCAGCGGGCGAGGCGGGCGGAAAGGCACGCCAGGCGCGCCGCGGGGAGGATCGGCTCCCGGGCGCCGGGCACGGCGGGTTCGCCCGTCGGGAGGTGCGCTGGCTCTGCTCCGCCTGCACCGCCACGGGAGGCGAAGCCCGCGGGACCAGCTCGTCGCCCGGTGCGCAGGGAGGCGGGCGCGCGGGGCGCTTCGCTAGGATGATGCGCTGCATGTTGAAGCCCGAATAGCAAGAACGTCCTGGTACGGAATAAAGCCGTATCTGAATGCCAGATACTGAGGAGAGGGGCAAGCGGTCGCAGTCACGTCAAGCCAAACTGTACAATCACCACGAGCAAAGCACAAAACCCCCTTTTCCCTTTTAACGACACATTCTCTCTCTCTCTCTCAGCGCACGAGCAGATTTATGTTACAGACACACGCCTTTCCCGCAGAAGGTCAGTCCAAGACATCCAGAATAGGACCGGAGTGTTCCCCCTACGGGGCAGAATTTTCCTTTCACCCCGTATATTTTGCCCACAAAGATGAACTGCCTACTTACTTTAAATAATCCAGCCAAAATCATCTCTCAACAGGCGAGTTAATCCTACATCCGAGACAGATCTCGAGCTGTACCTGCAAGGGGGGGGGGGGAAATTGGCACGAGTCACCCCCAGTTCTCAGGGAACGACCTACAAGTGCTGCGCTGTCAGCAGCCGCCGCCGCCGCCGCCGCCGCCGCCGCTTTCCCTTGCTTCGCCTCGCTATTGCAACAACTGCTGCCTGGGAAAATGGCTATTTTATGAATGGGAGGGAAAGGATCTCTTTTGCGCATGCCTGTCCTCCCAATTCTATGAATGGGTGGGCACTGGCGTTCCAAGGCGCATGCTCTGCTCTCATTTATGAATGGGGAGCCGGAAGGGAACTTGTTGCAAGTTAAGGATGGATGTAGGCGGTTTTTTTCCCTGGTGTGGGTGGGTTTTTTTATGAATGAAACGCGGCAGCTGCGGGCGGCTGCGCATGCACCGCATGCAGGCACGCACATCCAGCCCGGGCTGAAGGCAAAAGCGCTGCAGTCCAGGGCAAGAGCGGACGGACGGCTGAGCGAGCAAGAGCGGGGGCTCCGAGCTGGCAGCGGGCTGCGGACAGGCAGCGCTCCCGGACGCCTCGGAGCCGAGCTGCGGGCGGCCTTGGCGGCTCGTTCCCCCGGCGAAGGCGAGGCTGGGCTCCCTCCCCGCCCGCGGCCGCCAGCCCTGCGAGCTCTCCTGGCAGCCGGCGCGGCGACGAGCCCTTCTCCGCAGCCAGGCAGGGCGACCCCGGGCTGCGGAGAGATGCCGCCTTCGGCCGCGGCCCCTTTCACCTGGCGCCCTTTCCTCTTGTGGGTCGGGAACCGGCGGCGGGCGGTCTCCCGTAAGGGAAGCGACAGCCGCATGGTGCTCGCCCCGCCGCCGCCATCCCACAGCAGCCCCTGTCCCCGGAGGGCCCTGTCGTGGCTCAGAGGAACCCCGGGATCCCTTCCCCCAGGTCTCCTTCCTCCCCCCTTCCCCCCTCAAGAGCGCGTTCTCTCTTTGGGAGCAGCGTGGAGCGGGGGGCGGCGTGCATGTGCGAGTCTTGCACGAAGGAAAAACGCTCGGTTGCAAACGAATACCATTTCCGCAGCCCGCCCCAAGCCTCCCTCTCCAGCACAGGGAACAGATTCATAATCGCTCATACTGACGTGCACGAGGGAGACTGCAGCGAAAAAGAAAGCCTGAGCCAGAGACATAATGTAATCCGGGGCTCGGCCCCAGAACCTTTTTCCAAAGCCAGAGCAAAAAGCCTGGATCATAAGAAGCCATAGGAAGGAAGAGCAGATGGCAGGCATCTAACCTCGCCACCGAGGGCCTCCAGCCAGCCAAGGTGGGGGGTTAGCAGAAGAGCGCTGCAGAGCCTGGCCTTTGTCTTCCTGGACTGGAGCATCCCTTTATCTCTTGCGGGTCTTCCAGACAGAGGGGCTCCTGGAGCTGCTACCAGAGCGAAGGCCTCACCCGCTTGGACTCTTGTATCTTTCCCTCCTTCACAGATTTTTTTTTTCTCTTCAGAGAAAGAAGGCAGGCAGGGGGGAAAAGCACTAGAGGCTTACTACAGATGGAAGAAGGCAGGGCATCTGGACCCTCCCCCCATAAAATTCTGTGAGCAAGGCTGGGTGATTGCTCAGTAAACACCACAGGTGGACCCGGCACCCAAACAGCTGTTTGATTTCTGCATAAAACAAAGGCAGCTGTGTTGGTGGTAAAAGACTAAAATCCATGCAGTGTAATGACTTGACTAGGAAAACTCAGAAATCATAAAGTGCAAGCTTTATTTCTGCATGGCATTGAATTGCCTAAATTGCTCTAGTTAAGCATTGCAGCTCATGCTCTTGCTCTGGAAGATCCGGATGAGCTAAATTCAACGACTTGCATGTAGTTATCTCAATGTACAACCCGGAAGCAAGCAAGCCCAGCCTGAATGCAAAACTGCTGTGTTTGTGAATGTTCCATGTGAAAACTGCTTTTCTGAATTTGTGCTGTCCTTGATCAATGTAAACAACATTAGCTTTGCAGCACAATTCTGTAAGCATCTATTCAAAAATATTCCCTGCCAGGACATTTTGGTAGCATTTCAGCCTTAACTTAGAAAATTCTGCTCCCATTCAAGTTCGAGCATGATTTTGGGTATCTGGGTCTCTATTTCCACTCCCCTATCAGTCAGAATTGAAATCTTAGAGCTAATAATTGAATCTTAGACTCAATTATACTGAGTCAGAAGTCCCAGTGATTTTAGGCACAATCTTCGGAATACATTCCTAAAGTCATGCCCCGTGAGATTGATGGAACTCAATTCTCTGAGTAAACCTGGCAAGCTCTGGACTACTTCGTATAGCTGTTGGGGGAATGAAAGGGATCAGGTTGATTCTACCTGGGAGCATTAAAGAAACTATGTGAAGATTTTTTTTAACAAAATGAATGCTGCAGCCCACTGTTTCATATACTTAGAGCTACTGGAAAAACATGTGATGCATTAAGAAACAGCCGGAAATCCAGAATGTGCTACACCGTCCAGTAAAGTGGCTTTAAGCCACTTACGTGTTCCTGACACTCAGTAAATGTTAGATGCAGATGTCAGTTCTTTCACTAAGAGTGGAAGTAGATGGTAAGAAAAAGCCAGGCGCGCGCATGCACGCACACACACACACACACACACACACACACATTTTAATGAAGGATGATCATATTCTTTAGAAGTATAGTATTAACTGAAAATGGTCCTTGAGAATTCAGAACGACAGAGTCTCAAGTTACTGCTTGGCTGTTGCACAAAATGGGAAAATAAAGATTTGAAGAAATATATGAAGGAGAGCTGAGGCGTGGGGGAATGTTCTGTTGGCTGATACAGAATGTAGGCCAGTCAGTTTTTTGCACACAATCATGGGCTTTTGCAATTATACATCATGCCTATATGTTTGTGTTGGACAAGGGGTGGGGGGAGCTGCCCCTTGTTTAGGTTGCAAGGTCTTCATAGGAGCGAGGAGGAAAAGCTAAAATGTTGGACAGCTGAAGGGAGCTTCAGGTACTGGGCAGTCAGGAAATAAAATTTTAAAAATCTGTGTGCCTCTGCAAAAGCATCGGTGCATGCCACACAGGTCATCTGCCTAGTCTAAATATAGGACTTTCAGGTTCAAGTTCAGTCTTTGGTTGTGTACTGAATTCCAAGCAAGAGGATGTCAGAGTTATGGATAAAGGCAGGATCCTACCAAACAAACACAAGAAAAAAGCTTTTATATCAAGAAGAATATTGATTCTGAATACAAATGGAAAAGTGGCTAAGCCACTATGGAAAAGTGGCTTAGCCCCCCTTTTTTAGGGATTTTGTATACAATTGATTCCCACTCCCTGTCACAATTGGAAGCCATTGTTTTATATGGTTAGTCAACTCCCAACAAGGATCCTATTCAATAATGGCTTGTGACATTAAAGGCTGTGTAGGTTTCTATACCATGAACTTCATGGCTGATATTATTTGGCCCAGAGTATTGGATTGTCAGGTGGAACAGGGCTAACACCAGACTTTGTTGCTGGGCTTGGTTTCCACTGGGGAGTATGCCTTTCTGGTGAACAGTAGTTGTGGGTTTTGTGTATTCATCTCAAAAGACTGTGGAATGATCAAAATTATCTCTACTAGGCCCTGCACCTGATTTATTTTTTCATCCCTTCTTGCCCTCACCTGCTGATTTTTATCCCTTGCCACCTTCATGTCCAAAGAGAGGACCAGGGAAAGGGAAAGCCAGTTCTAGCTGCCCCTAAAGTGCCACTTGGGCACTTACGGGATTTCTGGTACTGCTGCTCTCCTGGGAGCCACTTGGGAAGAACAAAGGAGGTTTGTCAATCTTGCTCAGCAGCTGGTTCCCCATACTTACAACAGGTTCGGTCACCCAAGTCTGGGCAACACGGCAACCCGTTGTGAGTACAATCCGGCAACACCCCATGGGTTGTAGGGCTAGCATGTTGCCCAGGCCACTAGACGGCTTTATAGTTTTTCAGATTCCCAGCTATGAAGCTGGGAAAGTGCTCTGACCTTGTAGATGAGGATCCTCACACAGAGTCCTCTCCACATGTGGGCTGCTTCTCTGAGGTCATTAGAGCAACCTCCGAGAAGGGCTTTGTAGGGGAGTGCCGGGCTGGAGTGGAAAGTACAATGCTTCCTGGTGGCGCCTCAGCCTCTTCGCCTCCCACTCCAAACTGCCACGCGTTGATGGCCCAAAGTGAGCATCTAAGTGCTTTGCAGGAAGTGGGGAGGCAGCCTTCGCCACCACGCACCTTCTGCCATACATAGACGTTCACAGGGTGACAGGACCCCTCACTGGATTGCCCCCCTTTCATTGCATTGCTTTAATCCATTTTCATTTTGCCTGTAAGCCATCGTGAATGCCTTTTCGAAGAAGTTTCCTGGGCCTGTATTTTGGTGGTGGGGAGGGCCAAAGAAGACGGGGCCAAAATACCTTATTAAATCGATGAAGCATTAGGGGGAGTGATGTAGCCACGTGATACTGCGGGGTCTGGGGCAGAGGGTCTGCCACTGCTACAAATTTCTGAAGCACAGCAGTAGGCCTGGAAAGGGCTGCATGGGGCAGGGGAGCCGTGGCCGAGTGTTGCCCACTCCGTCATAAGAGATCCTGCTGCTCTTAGGTGTGGTAGGGAAAGATACCGTCCCATGGCCAGCGTTGTTGTCAAGTTCTACTGCCTGGCTGGCCAAGGTCTACCCACGGGTTGGGGTATGTCACTTTGTCCTTCATTCCAGGCAGAAAATACCTTGATCTCCTGGACCAGTTTTAGGCAAGCCGTGGTTTCCAAAGAGACTTACAAGAGTGGGGAGGCTTTCCTCCTGTTTGAAGCTGTGAGTGGAATCCAGGATGTGGGGAGGAACCCCGAGGAACCAGCACGGTCCATCATGCAGCATGAGCAAAGCCCACCGGTGGCAGTGCTATCTGAGCAGACTTTGCTTCCCCAGCCCTTGGCATACTTTGCAGACGCTGGAAGGGAGGTGAGAAGAATTCAGTGCAGTGCGGTATCGTCACTCTGGGTTTTCAGGGGGTAATAGAAGCACAGAAAGAGAAGAGGAAGTGTGCAAGCGTGGCTGTCATCACAGAGTTTCCATTACATTTCCTAGGTTTAGGGGAGGTGAGTCACACCTGAGCCATAGCGC